AGGGGGGTGCAGGGAGGTGGGAAATAAAGGGGAGAAGAAAATGGGACAACTACAATAGCATAATCAACCAACTATACTAAAAAATAAAAATTTAAAAGAACTTATAAAAAATAAAAGTAAAATAAAATGCCTTTCTGGCCCTGTCCAGGTGGCTCAGTTGGTTAGAGTGTCCTACCAAAAGGTTGTGGGTTTGATCCCCCTCTCTGGAGCATACCTAGGTTACAGGTACAGCCCATCTTTGTGTGCCTGGGAGGCAACCAATTGATGTTTTTCTCTCTCTCTCCTCTCTCTGTAAACATGGTGTTTGTAGGGCCTCAGGTCATCCTAGTGGCCCTCTCTGGGATGCCCTCCAGTGTGTCAAAGTCCCTTTTAACTTGCACCACCTAAAACTGAACTCTGTGTTCCAGATGTTGTCCTGCAAAACAAAGAATGAAATATTTTTTATCCAGACACTATACTCCTGTTTTTTTTAAAATGTCATTCATTATTTTCTGGTTATTGGATATTAATACTTTCAATAAGATTTGGAGGTTTAAATTTGGTGTTCTGGTAGCCAGAATATATTGTTGTCTCTCACAGAGCTAGTTATCAATTAAAGCCCTACCTCACTTACCCACGGACCACTCTCAAGGCCTCATGTCTCCCACCCTCTGCTAGGACAGTTAACACTTAAAACCTTGTTCAAATAAGGCCTGTTGCACTTGCTGAAATTATTTTGGGCCTTAATTCTACCATCAAACTCACATCATCCATTTTTATATAAAATTCACATTTAATAAGACATATGGTATGAATCCAATTCATTGATATGAACATTGAATATGACCGTTCAAGATAAAAGCTCTTAGAATGTATCTAAAAGTCTTCTAATTGGTCATCCATTCTTCAATTAATCTTTCCAAATTTCAAAAAGTTACAGATTAGTTTCTCTCTAATTCAATCAGCATGTCTTCATCTTGTGCCAAAATTATTATGAAAGAGTCTGTTTAATGCCTTCTTATAACCCGGACACCCCATGACTGCTGGATACCACCAATCTTACCCATTATCCTATTTAAAATGGAGATCAGGTTTACTGGGCGTGACTTAACAGTGAACCACTCTGGCTCTTGGTGAATCTCTATGCACAGAACTGAGTTCACAAAGCATCCATTTAACAATTAGTTGCACAGTTTCTAGACTTTCCTTTTATAACAATTAGGGCAGTGTTTTCCTGTCTCCAATCTTTTAGGACTTTCCCCTTTCCCATAATTCCTCAAATGTTATTGACAGGCATTCTTGTCTATTTGTATATAATTTATCTGAACCAGGATATGAACTTAGTCAAAACAATTACATGTTTTTCTGCCCTTCTTTTCTGTATTTTGGGCTTCTATTTCCTGGTCCCTATGTTTTTCAGTCTGTAGATTTTATCACGGAAATCTTGATAGAGTGGCAAAGTTGAAAAACAGTTATGTTTTCTTTTTGTTCACCTGTAAACATTACATCATCTTCCCCAAACAATAGGCTGGTGCTTTTGTTGTTCTTCCTGCTCTGAACCAAATAAACGCAGAGGTTATTATTATAGCTCTTCAAGCCTAAGTTCATCCTGTGTTTTAGTCATCTTGACTCTATTTTACAAACTTATTTGTTCATCTATGAGACAAACTTTTATTAGGAAATCTACATGAAACAGGACTTGCACCGGAAATACAGAGCTAGATAAATTATAGTCCTATTCTCAAGGAGCAGGGAGACAGATTCTTATATGTAACTTGCTCATAATTCAATCAGCATTTCTCCGTCTTGTCCCCAGTTAAGATAATTAAGGTAATTACACCCTAGTGATGCATTTTCCTTTTGCCAAATTTGGGGATTTGCATATTTTCTTCTACACACCTTCCCAGCAACTAGAGAGTCACATATCACTTCTTTGGATATAATTAGGAAAAACAAAAGGGTTGCTGGAGAGAAAAGGATGGTAGTTCATAAGGCAGGGCAGGAGGAAAGGTATTTAGAAAGTACCCTTGAGAAAGATTTAAAAAATGACAAAAAAGTAAACCCTGGCATTTAAATGCATTCCCCCATTTGTGCAAAGGAAGAGGGTTAACATGTGCATCTAAGTGGACTTCTGAGACAAGGTGGGCACTAATGACAAGAGTCACCTGCTTCAAGTCATAAAATCAGACAAGGAAAAAATACTTCTAATTACACATATGAAGTAAACGTGTACATAAGCCTTCCATTGAAACTGCAATGGAGGCAGATCCTCAAACATTTCTAAGGAATTATTACTTAATGTGTGCAGAAATATTACTGATGATTTAATAATGGTATACTTCCTATCATTTTAGTTAAGTGCAAAAAGAAAAATAAGGTTGTTTTGTTGATATGTGACCTCAGTGTCTGAAATTCTATTTTTCACAAGGCCTTTAATTATTTAACTGAAGAATTCCCCTATCCAGTAGGGGTTGCACACACCTAGTCTGTGGGTTTAAGGGCTCACCGATGTATCTATGTCTGGGAGCCACGTGGGCATGGTAGTTAAAGGAACTAATGAGGACTGGGTGAGTGGAGAAGCTTCTCCAGGCAGCAGCATTTGAAATGGATCTCCAAGTGGCAGATGATGGTTTAGGGGTAAGGTCCTGGCTAGCGGTAAGGCATGTGGGATAACATGTATGGCACATGAAGGGAAAGGCAGAGAGCCCACCAAGGGAAGGAGCTGCGGGAGGGAGGCCTGGCAGTGCACTGAGCCAATCTCTGCAGGGCCTCCAATGTCACGGCAGGGAGCTTGGGATTTTGCCTGAACTAGCAGGCCTGCTGAGCAGGGTAGCATGTCTTGAGCCAGCTTGGCTTGCTATTTCAAAAGAGAAGGCCCTGGACAGGTTGCTCAGTTGGTTGTGGCGTCATCCTGTACACCAAAAGGCTGCAGGTTTGCTTCCCAGTCAGGGCACATACTTAGGTTGTGGGTTTGATCCCCAGTTGGGGTGTGTGCAGGAGGCAATAGACTAATGTTTCTCACATTGATATTTCTCTCTCTCTCTCTCTCCCCACCCCATTTCTATTTCTAAAACAAATCAATGGAAAACTATCCTCAAGTGAGAATTAAAACAAAAAAAAACAAGACAGGAGATAGTCTGTAACCTGTGCTCTCTGGAAAGCAACTCTGGGAGGCTACATCCTTGGCTTTGCCTGTAGGTACCTCCTTCGTATATTATCTCTAAGACAATATCGACAGCTTACTGAGCCAGGCCATAAAACAGGAATTTATTCAGTTCTGTCTCTAAGAAGCCATGAATCACTCCTCTGGCTAGTTTCTCTCTCTGTTAAGTCTGGCCATAGTACCTCCCCAGCTGCCTCACAGCCAAGAAGGGCTGCCCTAGTTTTGACATCTTACTGCGTGCAGGTAGCGTGCACCTGCAGTGTCTCATCTAACCCTCATAACAACCTCAGCAGAAGTGGATTATTAATACCTTCACTGTAAAGGTGAAGAAATTGAGGGTCAAAGAGGGGAGGTGGCTTCCTTTAGGTCTAAGAGATATTTAGTGGCTGAGCCAGAAGATTCCTCGACTGAATTTCCCAGTGATTCCAGGGGTCATGGTGGCGAGGCTGCACACGCCATTGGATTACAGGTATTACTGTGGTGGTAGGAAGCAGTAGAACATCCTTTCATCCTCACAAGAGTTTCACCCTCTGCACAATGTGCTGCCTTCCCTTGTCTCTCCTATCAAGCTGGTTCTTCCTGCCATGTTGGGTTTAGGATGTGGGGTTACTGATTTGAATTGCAGCCCTTCTTTGGCCCCTCCAGAATGCAGCAGTTTGTACACTGTAATTCAGCTCTCACCTTCATCAGTACCGCGACCCCACTTGCCTTCTGTCCACTTACTCATCACAACAATGATTCAGAAATGTGTTGTTCCTATGGTAATTCACACCGTGCTATTGGGTACAGATGCTGGCTTCCTGTTATGTGGTGCTCTTATTTTTACCTGAACTGGGATTAAATGACTGAGCCTATAGTAACAGTGGGACCCAGAATCCCCGGAAACCCTGGGACAGAATTGGTCAAATGGTTTTGAATTTAAGGTGTTCTCCTCTGATGGAAAATAAGGAGCAAAATAACATAAGTAAGAGGTGTCTGTGGTGTGATGGGAAGAATGTATGAGCTGAAGTCAGGTGACCACTTTCTGCTGAATTTGGTGTTAACTGAAATGTAATTGACATACCATAAAACTCACGCTTGAAAAGGGTACAGTTCAATGGTTTTATATATTCACAAAGTTGTACAATCACCACGACTCTCTAATTCCAGAACCTTTTTATCACCCTCCAAAAACCACCTGCTCATCAGCAGCCTCTCCTGCTGCCGCTCTACTGCACCAACCCCATCTATATTTATTTGCTCCTTCTCGCCCTACCTCCCTTCACCTTGAATTCCCTACCTGTCACCAGCCAGGTCACCAAAGATAAGGTCCCTCTGGCTGAGCACAAGGCCAGGACTGTAGTCATTCACTACCTATAAGGTGACTTTGCCGTCCAGTGCAATGTCATCCCCGATAGAGAAGCCCTACCATGTTGCTACAAGTGATTTCCAGAGTTAACAGGTGTGTAGGCAGACAGGGAGAGCCAGGAAGCCTGAGTGCTAGCAGCCCCTTACTGCTGGCATGGTCCTCTGTGGCCCAACCCTGCTTGGGACACGGGCCCCCAGGGTATATAAGATCAGCCCGAGGGATTAGCAACACTGCAGTGCCCTCACCTAGGGCACAAGTGTCGGGCTCTGATCCCACCCACGCTCCCGGCACTGCTGCTGTTGAAGGGAACACTTACCCCCTAGCTCACGTTTTCATGGAGAGGAAGGAATTCATGCTCTAAGCCTGAGGAGGCACTGTAGGCAAGGGACACCTCTCTCTGGCCCCTCCTTCCCTCCTCCTGGGGCAGAAACTCGGCATCATCTCAAAACGATGTAAATATAATGCATAGGTTATATTATATATTGTATATTATATTGTAATTATACTTACATCTTTGTTTTTGTCTGTCTCTTCACTGGAACACAGTGCCCAGGGGAGCAGAGAGTGGGTTTCTCCTCCTCATTGTCCCACCTCCAGTGCCTAGAATTGCACTGAAACAGAGTGGATGCTCTGTGAATATGTGCTGAATGAAAGGAGGAGGGAGGGTCAGGAAAGCAGAGAAAGTGGTGTGAAGTCAATAGCCAAAATTTAACACAGAAGAGCTTGTCACTAATGTGAGAAGTGCTGAATGTCAAGGCTCACATTTCTTTAAAATTTGTATTTGTATCATGTTTTAAAATTTTGTAGCCTACACTCAGCACAATGAGACCATTGTTTGGCGAGCACAGCCTCAGGGCCAGAGGTGGCTGCTTCAACCTCCCAGCCATTCTGCTCTCAGGACTTCGGCCGGCGCATGCTCGGTGGGCCTAGGAACCCTCCGAGACCCCTCCCCTCTGGAGGCTGAGCCCCATTGTGGACTCAGAGCAGGCACCCAGGATTCTTCTTCCCTGGCAATACTAGTTCTCCTCTCAGCATAGCAGGGAGGGACCAGCCAGTTGTTAACCCAAGGCAGCCCCTATTAGGGGCACTGAAATCCCACCAGAAACGCAATGATGTGGAGAACATTGTAGTTACTGCCACTCCCCTCAGTACCATATGTGGCAATAAGATGCTTGACATAGGGCATAGAACCCCAAGGCATGTGCTGTGCTAATGACAGGCAATAAGTACCTTGGCTGCCATTGGATTTGGGCTTGCTAGCGAGGTCTACAAGTTTGGATCCAGAGCTCTCCTGCCCAGGCCAGAGAGTAGGGGCTCTTGGTGGTGACAGAACTGCCTCATTTCTCTTCTCCCAGGCAGGCCGTTGTTTTTGGGTTTTGGTTTAATTAAAATTTTTTTTCAATTACAGTTTATATTTTATATTATTTTATATTAGGTTCACAGGCTACTTCTTTAAATGAATATTCAACGACTCTTTGAAAGAGCATAAACTGTTATCCTTCCAGGGTGCTGTGTACCTTGGCCTGCTCCTCACCTCCCCGCCCCCATACTGTAGCTCAGAGTGAGGCCATTCCTTCTGATCCATCTCACCTTCCAGTCTTGTCCCCAACACCATAATGGTTTCAGGTGCTCAGAACCAGCCCTGGGTACAACGACATTTGTTTTAGCCAAATTTCCTCAAAATAGGGAAAAAAGCCCAATCTGCATCTAATACTATCCAAGAGTATCCCAGGCTCAGCCTCAAATTTCATTTCACAGGTTCTTCGTGGAGCCCTTGGGCAATTTACACCAAATCTTTCACCCAATGGGACCTCTGCTTCTTAGCATCCACAGTAACCCAGGCAATGCAAATGTAAAAAGAGAAAGTAAAGGCGATGTGAAAACTAGGTCAGCATCTCTTAATGATCGTAATTCAGCACAGAATATCGGTCAATGACATTTTGCCATTGTGCACATTGGGGTAGATCCAGGGAAGCTTAATTTGCTTGACCTTTTTAAATGAATACATTTCCATTCATCTCTGCCAAGGAGAGTGGAAAAACATGTTTAGGAGTCAGTCTGCCAACATCAGCCTTAACAAGCTGGGCAACCTGCTTGGCACTAGGTTTTACTGGTCACCACCTACCAAGGGCATTTGGATGGTTGGTCTGTAGCTTCCATGAGTCGGTTTATAACCCAGAGTTTCCGGGATAGAGGCTCTTTATCTTTCCTCCTTACCTAAAAACAGCAAAACAATCACCAGAGTGTGTTTAACAACAAAAGAATGAGGGTAAACAGGTACGATTTTAAGGCCATGACATCAAACAGGATAAACCATAAGCTTTGTTTTGCATGTGGGTTCATGCAGGTCTGAGCCATGCTGGTTCACCCAGGGTCAGACTGTGAACTCCCTGACATCTGTCCCACGGATGCACAAAGAGAGTCTGTTAGACAAGGAAGTATGTTTACACCCCAGGCAAATAGACGCAATAATCTGCTCCTGAAAATGTGAGTGTGGCAAACGTTGTTTTGTGCCACTAGTCTTACCACAGGAAACAACATTCACTATGAACTTTTCTTAACAAAACTAATACATGGGCTGCTAAGAGCAATTTTTAACAAAATAAATTCAAGTCTATAACTATTTCACCATCCAAAAATGCACTTTCTGGTTTACCAGTATCATCTACTAACATTTTCCAAAATCTCTTGGTTATGAGGTTACTTTTTCGCTGAAGAGTCAGGGTCGGCAGCCGCCCTGATTTCCACGCCTCTGGGTAGCGCGGACCACCTTGCTTCCTCCGGGGCCCTGCCCCTGCCTTCCTTGAAGTGTGCGCCCCTGCTGCCTGCCGTTCTGTCCATGGCTGTCTCCCCCACTGTTTCTTAGGCTTATGGAGGGTAAAGTTTATATTCTGGTCATCTTATCATCTCAGTGCTTAGTATAAATCCTGTTACAAAGTTGGTACCAAATATGTATTTGTTGAATAGGTAAGCAAACAAAGTCTCTTGGAAGGGTGCAGAATGTGTGGTTTCTGCAGTCATTTTAATTTCTTCCATTAGCCAAACAATGATGAAAAATGAAGATTGAAAAGAGTTGAAAGACAGACAACTTCCTGTTTTCCTCAGTCTACAAATTTTTCTCCCAAATAATCTTTTCTTTCAAAGAGCGTTTAATTTTGAGATCCTTTTAAGAGTTTATATTATATAAAGCTATAAATTATACAGCACGAGTATAGTCAACAATGCAACAAAAGAATATATTTTTGTTCAGGCTATGACACTAACTAACAGTGTTGTGTTAGGAAACAATTTTGGAATTGATTAATGATATCTGTCAAGGGTGCTGGTGAAAAAAATGAATGATGGGACATAGGCTGGATGTTTGCCATCCTGGTATAAATCTCAAGCATTCCTTTTAAATTCTAAACTGATGTATTTGTTAGTAGTTCATGGACTACCCAGCATCTTTTAACATTTATAATATGTATGTTATATATGGCCGAAATGCATTTAGTATGTACTAGAGCCTGGCACCTTGCACAGTGTTTTTCAAAATTGTCTCATTTCATCCTCATAACACTGCTCTGGGACCTATGCTACTATATTTCATGTTATACGGGATGAGGGAACTGAGACTCGAAGAGTTTGAATGGCTTGCAAGGTCACATGGCTATAATAGTGAAATCAGGATTCATTCTGAGTTTTTTTCAGAAACTATGTTCTGAATCATTATGATGAAGTAGCTGCTGCACTTTGGCTTCTTTCTCCACAGAAAGTCTAAGATAAAGCCTTCAGCAGAAGAAAAGTAAGAATACTCAGAGGTTAGGAAAATGCTTTGTTTTTTTGTTTTTTTTTTTCAGTATTTTACTGAGAGTGATTTGCAACTTTAGGTACCACAGTACAAGTATCGATTGTTCCTGAGTCACTAATGCTATAGGTAAACTATTTGAAATGCATGCGTCCCTGGGAAAATGCAGACATATGGAGTCATTTTTCAGTAGTGTGGGTTAAAGACATTGCAATATTTTAGGTAAAATAAAACACGAAATTATTTTTTGTCTCCCCTTTATAATGGAGAGAATGGTTAAGAACTTCAGTTGAGACCTCAATGAAATAGGCAACTTCTCCCATGGCCCATCACCCTCAGCCCCTCTCTGTTCCTGACACTCCGCAGACAATCTTCTCTCTCATGTGTCCACACTGTTCCCAGTCCTTGATGCCAAGGAGACGCACTTGGGCAGTACACCCTGCCAGTCCACAAAGGCAAGCCTCACTGCCAGCAACTTTTCTAGGCTCAGGTCCGAAGGGCTTGCTTTTGCAGAATTCAGCCTGAGGAGTTAGCAGAGACGCTACATCAGGCCAGTTCTTCAAATTCTACTGACCAATAGGTGGAGCATGGGACCTGGTCATACTTCCTTTCAAGGAAGCCTGAGAAGTATGCTCCCCTCCCATGGATGCCCAGCAAGTGGAATGATATGCAAGCTACTTCACAGAGGAAGATGCTATCTTTTGTACATTAATTTTCTTCAGTTCTTATTCATGATTCCCCCACTCCTGTGTATGCAAGATTAATCCTTATGTCATCTACGCTCTAGACCTCACTCTTTAACAGACCCTGCTCCCCTCCTAAACTGGGGGTCCTGGTTTTAAATTAACTTCCAAATACTCATTTACTACACTAACGAATTCTCAGTTTAAGAAATTAAGATATTAGAGATAAGGCTAAAGTCAGGTAGGTGGTTGAAAATATGGATCTTGAAGGAGAAGTCTGGAAATAGCAGCTTAAATGGTTATTGGCCTTGGGGGTCACTGAGGACATTCTGGAGAATGTTTTCTCCTCTACCTTTTTAAAGGTTTAAAACCTTTCAAACCTTTCACATAAATAGCCTCAAATCACTCTCGTCATCAGAAACAAAACCAACGAACAAAACTGCAACAACTCCCCTTTCCTAACCCTCCTCTAGTCGTCACCTGTTTCTCTTCTCCTCTTGTCCTGTTCACACCTTCGAAGGTTTGGTCTGCGTCCTCCCGCTTCAGCTGCTTCGCTAGGATGAATTTTGATTTCATTTACTCTGGGTTAGACCTAATGACAAGGATCTCGTACTTATGTCAAGAATTGCAATAAAAACCAAGCGTACTTTATTGCTGCCTTTCACTGCCTTTGACCCAGAGTGCTGGGAGTTGGTCAAGGAAGCCAGAAGACACCTGCACGATCATACTCATCCAGGTGCAGGCTCAGTGAGACAGGTTGCAGGCACCCTAAGGAGAAGGAGCAGCTTCTTCCTGCTCGGGGTCACAGGACATTTGCATCCCGAGTCCCTAGAATTGGCAGCACTCCACTGAACACTTAGCACAGCCGGAGAGCTGGTCATTGCAAAGGTAAGCACTTCCTTTGTCAAGAGCTCATCCGGGTGTAACTGTGATTATTACCAGAAGTGCACAGCAAGCTCCCTTCTCCACTTTATCCCAATCAATCATACTCATGAGTTCGCTCTTGCGTCCTCGTGTTAACATGTAAGCATAAAATTGTTTATATTTTTAAGCGTAAGACCCTTCTAATTTATTCTGGTGACCATCTAATAGGAGTCTCAATATATGAGTATTAAGCTGTAAAACCCACCTGGGAGCATGGAGAAGGCTTCATAGAATGTGTGAGTCCCAAACGAGAAAGTCAACAGGTTCAGGAGAGGGGAAGGGCATGTCCAGTGAGGGCAAAGGGGTGGAGACATAAAAGAGCTCCTGCAAGATCAGGGAATGGTGGAGAGTGAAGGGCACGTGGCTGACATGAGACCGAGACAGGGTTAGACTGGGTTCGCTCACAAAGGACTTTGCCCCTGGATTGGAGAGCTGGTTAACAAGAGAGGCACTGAGTCTATGTCTAAAAATTCGCTCTTGATGCCCTGGGGTCATGGCAAACCCTTACCTTGTCGCCTGATAAGTGGTTGGGGGATGGTTCACTGCAGACCAGAGAGAAGAACAAGCCTCTACCCTGACGCTCTCAGGGTCCCGAACCCCCCAGGTTTATCTCTGCAAAAGCCCAGCAGAAGTGACAGGGCCTATGCAGCACCTCTGTGACCTACAGGTAGGTACATGCTGGCCTGGATGTTCATTCCCTCTGCAGACTCAGGCACTACAGCAATAATCAGGACTTAGGGGATTTTCCTCCGTGTTAAAAACACTTCAGTTTTGCTTAGTGCCAGCATTTGCCAGGTCTCAAAGTCTAGAGCCATCTACAAACAAGGCCCATTCAGATAACTACCAGGAGCCCTGTGCCCCCCTTAAACTAACAAAAACACTTTTATCTCCTAGCCAAAAAAAAAAATCCCCACCACTGTCCAAATGCACCAACTTCCTATTTTTCCTGGCCTGCTGCCCCTTCCTCTTCACTGCCTCCCCTTGGTTTCCCAGCAGCAGCCGACATCCCCCACAACTTGAGCCACAGGGAAGGCAGCTCCTACCCAGGCGTGTGCAGGACACAAGGTGTGGGAGGCTTCTCAAGTTCTCCAAGAGCCAAAGGCATTTACGAGGCTGGTCTGGAGAGTGAACCTGCTCAGATAAGCATTTCAACCCTTGGCTGAAGTCACTGCAAGTCACATGTATTCCAGGTTTCAGGGTTTACAAAGTTATTTTTATATCTATTATCTCGCTTCATCCTCACAACAGCCCAATGAAGCAGGATCTCATTTTTGTTTCAAAGATGAGGAAACTGAAACTCAAAGAATTTAAGTGGCTTTTCCCAATCACCTGGCAGAATCTGGAGGGGAATTTGCCACTTCTGACCAAATCCAGTGTTCTTGCTCCCACACTTAGCATCGGAGAAAGGAAAAATGTCTCTGACCATTTGGTCCTAGGAGATGTGTGAGTGCACACACACGCGGAACACACATACATAACTATCATGGTGTCCGTTCCACTTTAAACCCATATTGTGTGAACCAACGTACTCAGCACAGTGCCTGACCCCATACAATGCCTCACCTGGAAAAGAGACCACCTTAAGATCACTATCAATTTTTATAAATGAATTTCACCGCAGTTTATCACACCGAATGGCAATTATTTGGCCAAGTCTGCTCCTCTCACTCAACTGTGAGCTATTCAGGTCTCCTCAGTACCTTGCACACCATTGATCCTCAGGGCATACTTTTTAAAGAATGAGGTTGAGACACATGAAACAGAAAAACTCCCCCTTCAATCACCTTGCCAGGGCTATTATGCTAACATTAATTCGGCTCAACCAACAGTAAGCTCACAACCCTTCAGGTCAGGCTCGGTAGGATGGGGTACAGGGAGCAGGTATGCAGAGACACACTGAAGTGCATCAGGTAGATCTGGGCACTAGGTATCAAGCAGAGGTGCACAGGAAATATTGAGCCAGGAGGCATCTTGGAGTGAGCAGGGAAGAGGCCCAAGCTGGAAAATGGCAGAGCTGAAAAATAGCCAACTGGAAGCAAAGTAGAAAAGAAATCAGTCCCACCTGGCTAGGTAACTGGAAAATCATTAATATATAATATTTCCTTCATCTCCATATTAAGAAAAAATGCCTCTGCTAGTTGCTTGGATAATGAGATTCCTTGGAGGCACTTGCTGTAAGTTCATGAGATAAAGGTTTTGTATCAGATCCCAGAGCCCAGCAGAGCATGGCCTCTGAGAACTGAGCACCCAGGCAGGCTCCTCCTGGTGAGCAGGCTGTTCCTCTGGCACAGCCCGGCAAATGTTGGCAATGGAGGAGAAGTGAGGGTGCTCATGTGACCCTGTCAGGGCATCCCAACCAGTGAGTGGAGGCTGGAGACAAACTTGAAGAGGTAGGTCTCTCCCTGAGTTGTGGGTCAAAGTCCCTTGAAGAGAACAGGGTTCAGGACAGTTTACTAGAAGAGACATTTATGCATAGAGACCAAGGTCAAGGCTCAGTGAAAAGAATGGGGTACATGGGAAGGCAGAGTGCACTGTCTCATCAAGGGGGTCTCAATGCCCAGAACACAAGACTGAACACAGGACTTTCAGCCATCGGAACACGGGTGGTTGAAAATCACCTGCCTCCATTCAGATTGGACCAGGTAACTGATGGTGAGGTGAATCCTGTGTGTGTAAAAATAAGTGACCCCCAGCTATGGAAGGAGAACAGATTGCAGAAGCTGGAACCCAGGAAAGGCCTGACACTATTGGGTGATCTCAAACTGAGCTAAAACTCATCTGTAAAATGAGGTTATTGTTGACTGACCTTTCTTCCCAGCATTAAAGTTCTTCCAGGATGAAATTAGAGAGACACTGGAACAACTGCCTCCTGTGGCCTCCTTCCCTGAAGTCATCAAAGGCGAAACCTTCCATTGCTCCAGAAGAGGAGGAAGTCTAAACCCAGTTGAGCTGAGAGGAGAAGCGTGGACACTTTAACTCCATGTTAGCCAGCAGGCCAAAGCGTGGTAGAAAGTGGACTGGCTTCAAGTGGCCCAGCTTTGAATCCCAGCCTTGACCTGACTCCTGGCCAGATATAACAATGGAATGATGTTATTCGGCTGACACTCACGACAGAAGGTGACGTCTCTCCCACATTCCAATGTGAAATGCTGGACAACTACGTGGGATTTGAGAAAAAAAAGTTTCAGAGACAAAAGCCTTTAGGGAAGAAAAGAAGTTACTTTTAAAGAAGCTCAAGGGAGTGAGACTTCAGAAGGACCAGCTGGCAAAAATAAAAAATAAAACTAAATTCATAGTAGATATTTACAGGAGGAGAAAAAAACCTCAGTGTTAGTATGGTTACCTAGTTTATATTAGCTTGTCATGGTACAAAGCAGTGAGTTTTTCACTGAGGATATGATTATCATATCCTCAAAGTAATAACAAAAGGTCAGATGTCAGCATTGCAAAAGTCAAGGTAGAGTTCTTGTGAGAGTCTGGCAAAAGTCAAATGACAGCCCCCACCCCGGTGGGAGAGCAAGGGATTACAGAGGCTACAGAGGCTGGAAATCTATCTTTACTGGAGAAGTTCAAGGCTTTGTTTATGTAAAAGGTCTAGAACCCGACATAGTGAGCTGATTATTTTTGTTTTATCTCCCAGTGCAACCTGGTTTGATACCCCAAACCCCCACTGTGAAAAAAAATGTGTCATGTTACTGAACCAGCAGCAGGGCAAAGTGTCAATTTTGTTTTCCAAGCAGGTGGCTAAAACTCTGGTAGCTCTTGCAAACCTTAGAGTTGCACTCAGAGAGCTAGAGAGAACTCGGAAACTGGAGCATCTCTTGCAAGAACTGCCAGTGTGCTGAGTCCCAGCCCTCACTCCAAAGAGGAAGGGTGTAGGGACAGGGTGGGGGGCAGATTTCTTTCCCCCTACAGCCTCATTAGGGGCATGAAAGGCTTGCTCAGAGGGCTTCATTTGTGGGAGAGACAGCTAAAGAAGAGAGGCTGGCGGAAGCAGTCTCGGGCAGCAGAGTGGGCTGCACTGGAGGCCCAGGGATGAGTTGGTGTTTGCCCAGGTCCAGATGGGGACCTCAGATTGCCTGTGACCAGCCAGGAGACACATATCCACCCCCAACAAGGGGATGGCAGGGAGAAGATTTTTAGCATCTCCAAGAATCCACAAAAGAGAAAATTATCCTTAAACACTTGCCAGGTCAGAGGAAAGTAAAATCAGATAATGCTGGTCAAAAAAGACCCTTCTTGTTTTCTTTCTCTCTCCACTGTAACTCGTAAAAATTTTAACATTCCTCAGTTTGCCTTCTAACAATGGGTATATAGTAGAGGTTCAATTAGAAAGTTGAGGCTGTGACTTCATAAATGTGACTCTCAGGGCAGAACATGGAAATAATTTTTCATTAGATTAAGAAGCAATTTGGGGAAGACGAGAATTCCTAGGGGGAAGAGGAAGCTGCCAAAAAATTGTTAACGAGAGCGCAGAAGCTCTGCCATTGGTAGAATTATAACCCTTCCTAAGTAACGCAATCTGAAGGATCAATACTTGCTACAGCCAAAGAGGATGTCTTCCTTCTAAGGGGCAAGCAGCCTTCCATGTTTTTTTCCCCCCTGAACTTTGCTTTTTTTCACTTGGCAATATATACTGAATCTTTTTATTTAAAATAAAAAGCTAAGGGACACTTACGTTTTATAATGAAGACATCTGAGTATATTTGTGGGACAAAGGGAAGAAACCAATGAAGAAAGCAAAAAATAAAATATGTCCTTTTAAACTGTAGTTCTGCAGACTGTAACAGTGTGGCAGTGTGGAATGTGGTATGGAGCATACAAGTGTCATTTTGAACAGCAAGCGCACAGACAGACACGGGAGGGAATGGGAAGATTCTAACTGCTGCAGCAGGGCGGTGGTAGAAATGTGGCGGGTAACTCCTCTAATTTTAAACTTCCTGAACTGTTAGCATAGCCTTCAAGTTAACATAACTTCAGTACTTTATTTTTTTATAAAAACAATATAGGTAAAGGCATATTAGTTGCAGTTGGAGACCCCCAAACTTATTATGGTACTTTTGCTATCCTTCTTAAAAATTTTGCTAGAATTCCTGCTGGTTTTATCAGATCTTCCCCTGGTGTGGCACTGAAAAACTTTTCTCATTCAATAAGAGCTATTTTTATTTTAATTAACAGACATTTTCTGTCATTCTCCTTAGCATTTTGACAATTTGTGGTTAAACCCCCAGCCTCTGGTCCATCACGAACCTCCAC